TCTAGGGTTATTAGAGGTGGGAGCGGCATCGTGATGTGATGGTGGTAGGCTACCAGTCACAGGAGAGTTTTGAGTTGTTAGATTTGAATGAAAGATTGATACGGCAACGAAAAGCATGGTTTATGTCGGTTAATTAATTGAATTAACGGCCCTCCTCGCACCTTCCCCAGCTGTTGTCCGTCGTCACCATCACAAGACTTACAAAGGGTTAGGGTTATTTCACTCTCCCCGATTTCAACCCCACCACACGTGACCCACACCAGAGCTCCAAAGGTTCTTGCGCACGGACGACCAGATCCGATCCCATCTCTGAACTCCAATCCTGCCGACCACGACCACGGCAGCTCAACACAGACAAAAACCCCACGATGCTCGGCCTCTCAATCCTCGCGCGCGCGCGCATCGCCGCCGCTTCCGCCTCAAAAACCCCTTCCCTCTCCTCAGCTATGCGCTCCCTTTCCGTTTCCAAACCAGCAACGATCCAGACCCGGGCGCTTTCGGCGCTCTCCACCCTTTCAAGACCAACAACGGCTTTGCAGACGGGTGCCAAGACGGCGGCGGCGGTTTTCCAGAAGCAGCAGACGAGGGGGATGAAGGTTCACAGTTCGGTCAAGAAGAGGTGTGAGCATTGCAAGGTGCGTTTATGACAGTTTGGAGGGGGGGATAGCTGGCTTTGGGGGGATGAATGGATGATTGGAACTGGGGGGATTGAAATTGGCCCGAGGAAAATGCTGACTCGGGAAAAATACAGGTCGTCAGAAGAAAAGCGAACAAGAGGCACCGGGGATACATCTACATTATCTGCTCAGCGAATCCGAGACATAAGCAGCGCCAGGGTTAAGAAAAGGTGAACGGATTGGGAGGAGCTGGCTGTACGATACACGCAACGAACAGGGAATGGGAGGTATTGGAGACGGGGAGGTGGTATTAGATGGGTCACAGGAGAGGGCGAAATAAAGATACAAGGGAGACACGCGGGGCGGTTGAAGAAAGAATAGGCGGGCCAAATGGCTTTGTGTGCTATAAACCGTCAATATACCTCTCCATGCCCTCCCATTCCGTCTTGCCCGTCGAGAGCAGGTAGCGAATATGGCCGATGTCTGTAACGTTTCTGTTTCGCTCGAATTCTTGTCGAGCGAATCGGCGAGTCTCGGCCTTGGTATTTGGATCCGAGATGCGCCTTGTGCCTCGGATGATTGTTCGGTAGAAGGAGAGGACTCGAGCTCGTTGGAGAAACTGGGAATATTAACTTGGAACTGCTCGGGTGAAGGAGACGAGACATACATGTTCGAGTCCAAGTGCCTTGCCGAGTTTTGATCGCGAACCGCTGCTGCTGGTCGAATGCGTGCGCAGGAATGGCTGCGCTTGGGAGAGAAAGAGGCGCATCAATGGCGAATTTTGGGGGTTCAACAAGTTATAAAAACATTGAAAAGACGGGAATTTTGATTTGCGCGCCCGCAATGGCTTGCCAATGTCGACGTGGTTGTGAATGTGCTGAGCGGGAAAATTTCGGGGAGCGGCATGGCAACTGAACGTCATTGTTCATTGGGGGGTAGGACCCCACTGTAACTTGCAGCGCCAAGGCTTCCCACAGGTGTCTCAAAGGGGAATCAACATCAACGCGACACCAGAACATCGTTTAATTTTTTTTTTTATTGTTTTCTCGAATAGCCAAATAACGTGTTATGATTCCAGTTTTATGGCCCAATTGTGCCAAAAAAAATGCCTCCTAAACGTCGCAGAGCACCTACCGACCCCATAGACGTCGCTAACCAGAAGACGGATGAACAGTTCATCGCTGATTACTTACAGTCCAAGTATGTACATCTTCCCCATGTTTTTGTTATTTATTTATTTATTTTTCCGACGGCATGTTGACATTATTCCAGCTGGGTAACAACCTGGACGCACCCAAAAACCCTGCACCAACACACGCTCACACTCATCCAACCCGCCAAGATCTCACCCTCAGACCTCCAAGCGTGCTTCGACCTCATAGCGGAAACCAGCAAGCACGACTACGAAAAATCAACATCCGGATGGCAGCCCGATCAGAAACTGAAAGAAATGAAATCTCCCGAGCTGCGATACATACTCGTCAAGGACGCCGACACAAAAACTGTCAAAGGTTTCGCTTCCCTCATGCCCACGTACGAGTGCACGCAGCCGGTCATTTACTGCTACGAGATCCATCTGAAGCCTGAACTCCAGGGGACGGGGATGGGATCGCTGCTCATGGGTCTTTTGGAGAATGTGGCGGGGAGGGTACCGCCTGTTAGGAAAGTCATGCTGACTTGCTACTTGAGTAACGAGAGGGGGTTGAAGTTTTACAGGAAGTTGGGGTATGAGAGGGATGATATTTCGCCGGTGGAGAGGAGGTTGAGGGGGAACAAGGTTATCAGGCCGGACTATGTGATTATGAGCAAGGTGGTTGTTGAGGGGAAGAAGGGGGAGGAGAAGCACGGAGAAGAGGAGGATGGGGTGTGAGTGAAGTTGCTTGGGTCGTGAAGCATGGGACAAATCTCCGATCCCGTCCAGAGTAAGCAGTGTGCCTGTGCTATTTTGAAAGCACTTTTGCCGAGTTTGGTTTGCAGGATGACGGGAGCTCAGGTGCGACGAGATGGTTATGCTGATTATGCCGATCCCTGACCAAGTTCCCAAGTTTGGAGTGAAGCAACCAACACGGCTGCGGTGTTTATAATGGTGGCATCTCCTCGCCAGATGGGCTCTTTCTTTGAACCTTTGCAAACTATTATCGTCAACGTTACATTCACCACCAACATCCTGCACGGCATCACAATGAGCACAGAGAAACCCAGCCATCACCCAGAAGAGGTCGCCCCCGCTCCCGAACAGGACTGGGAAACACCCCTCATTCAGTGCACGCCTTGTGGGCCATTTTGGCATGCTATCGCGTGTCCGTGTGTCGGCAAGTCATCTCGTCACCTCATCAGCACACAATTACTGACTTATCAACCAGTCCATGGCCAGACGGCTCAGCGCCTTCGGGATCCCCGAGTCGAGGCAGAAAAGAACAATGCAGACTGCAAAGAGTTTGCGGTGAACCAAATACTCTTTGGGCTGTGTTTTCTGTTAGCACCACACCTTTTCCCCTGTTTTCTTATGCTGACCATGTATCAGTGAAGTAATGAAGAGCCGAAGGGACATTCGACTGCAATATGACATCAAGGGCAATGGGTTCGGTGATTTCTGTGTCTCCTGCTTCTGTTGTTCGTGCGCACTACAGCAGCATGATGCTGAACTCAGGAGGAGGCAGGGCAGGGGAGAGATTGGGGTCGTGAGGGAAGGGTACGTGAGGGAGGAGGAGATGGTGATGGGGGTGCAACGACGGGAATAACCGCAGGTATCGGGGCATGAAGTTCTTGAACCTCAAGTCTATTTATCATTCTCCTCCCTTTTTTTATTCTCAGTCTCCTTGTCAACCACCGTTGCCAAGCCTCGTCAAGGAGAAGGTCGCTTCGCTCGCAGTCGTTGCCTCGCAGTCGTTGCCTCGTTGGGCGCCCTCCAAAGGCGGTGCGAGAATAATTAAACTTTGGTTTAGTAAATGCTTGATTCTCTCTTGGATGCATTTAATTATGTTTTCTGGGGGTTCTGCCCAATTGTTGTTGAGCACCGCCACGGGATTATAGAGCTTTGCCTCATTCGGGGTAGACGAGGAGGGAGGTCTCCTAAAACCCCTGCAGGGAGAGATGTCCTCATTTCTTGGTGATGATGTATAAGGTTGACCACCGGCCTGGTGTTGAACATGAGGCATCACATCAACCAACGTTTTTATTGGCGCTGCAAAAGACCCGAGTCCCTGGCTGGTTTATCAGGCACATCAACAATCTTTGCACCATTTTTTTTTTTTTTTGACGATCTCATCATCATCATCACCTCCAATTGACCAGTCTCGACTACCACAACACAAAAATGCCACAACCAACCACCCTCCCAGATGACCCCCTTTCTTCCTCAACCACACGCTACATCCCTCGGTCCAAACCGGCCCCAAACTACAAACACCCCCGAAAGCCCTTGGCCTGGTCCCGCTCGAAGCTCTACACGGCAGAAAACAGATTCGGACACTACGAGGACCTCTGGCTGGACCGCTCCCACAATTTCGCCAAGCTCAGGACGGACGCCGCCCGGATGCGGTACATAAACCTCGACCCCAAGACGGGACAGCCCCACACCGAGCGGCGCGCGAGGTTCAAGCCTGCGTATCTGTCTTATCTCAAGGCGATGGACAAGTACAGGCTGCCGACTCTCTACAGGTGCGACTACTGCGAGGACAGAAAAAGGTTGGGGGCGGAGGGGGAGAGGAGGGAGAGGGCCAAGGCCGAGGTTAGGGAGGGGTTGGAGGAGGTTTTTTGGGGGTGGGATTATGATGATGTTGATGATGGTGATGATTACAAGGTAGTAATAAGAGAAAGAGAAGAAGAAGAAGAAGAAGAAAGAGCGAGAAAAGTAAGAGAGCAGGAAGACAGATGGGAAGAGGGGGAAGTGCCGGGCGGGTTTGGTTTAGGGGATTTGCCTCAAAGGGGGGAGGTGGTGATGAAAGCGGGGAGGAAGAAGAAGAAGAATGGTAGGGGTGATAGGTTGAGGGAGGTCAAGAGCTTGGACGAGTTGAGTAGTAGTGCGTGTAGTTGGAGTTTTGTGGGGGATGGGGATCTGGAAAGCGTTGATGGGAGTCGTCTTGGGAGGTGTTTGCATCGGTTGGTTGTTGAAGACGGTGAGACGAGCAGTGATGATGACCTGCTGACTCGGACCACGGGATCGGATATAGGACACTGGGAGGTTTTAGATAGAGACTGAGGCAAATAATTATTACCTGTGCCGATAAATAATCTAACATGAATATACCTGCACAACTTGTTGTAATTGATCACCAAACAAATTTCACTTCCAACCTTCCAAGCTTCCAACCTTCAACGTCCCGCAGTGGGGCATCATGTGTGCAGTTGATGATCATCTTGAATAACAATTCGTCAGAAAAAGCCCGCGTGGCGCAATGGTTAGCGCGTCAGACTTTTACGGCACAGTCGGAAATCTGAATGTTGCGAGTTCGAGTCTCGCCGTGGGCGAATGAAGCTATTCCGGCTTTCATTTTTGCCTTTTTCCCTCAAGGCGAGATTGTATTGTTTTTGTGGTGTTCTACTTTTTTTTTTTCCTCTTCCAGCATGTTAGAAATGAAGGTGGTGTGGGCTCCGGGTGAAAATGCAGGATAATATAATCAAACCGTCAACCCACATTGCACACAAACATTTGGTTATCGGCGGCCTTCGAAGTAGTGAGGCTTTACATTTGGAACTTTTATGATAATCATGATAGATCTCGATGGCTGCAACTGAAAGTGCTCGCAGTAATTAAATGGTCCTTTGAACATGACTCCGAGCCTTATGCTCACTGGTAACCGCCGACATCATCCAGCCTAAAATTTCAACCAAACAAAACACTTTGTGTCACTTATATCCCCATCCCTTTTATGGCTGCATGTGTTGCCTCTGATAGGTCGAGAATGCCTTCAACATCCCAAAACAGGGAAACCTGGAATGACGTCGACCCCGCCACACCTTTTTTCCATCCAAGTTGGGGTTCAATTCCAAAACTGGATTCCGGGTTTGGAAAAAAATAAGAAGGGCTAGATAGGTAGGCATCTTTTTTCTTCTTCTTCTTCTTGTACACGGTTGCATCGTTCGTTCCATAACCCCCCCGTACTAATTACTTACTTCCTATTCAAAAACACTCAACTTGCAACTTGCACACAATGTCAGCCAACAACAAGAATACTACCAAAATGGAATGGGCCAAAGCGCAATACAACAAACAATACGAGAAATGGGTCCCCTGGCTCGAGGACATGTACCTTTACTACTTTACTCGGGACAACAAGACGAGCTATGCCACTCGCCGTATGTAATTTTTTTTTTCTTTTCTTTTTTTTTTTTTTTTTTTTACTTTCCGCCTAATCTAGCACGTACGTCATGTTCATGTACATGTACATACCTCAACTAACATAATGAACTTGTGACCAGAAAACCTCGACAAGACAAAGGTTACCGGCGTCAAACAAGTCGACGCGCTCCAAGACGGCGTGCACAGCCTTGTCGCCGGCCAGGTCGGACAAGATGGTCTCGGCAGGCCCGTGGGTGATTTGGTTTCAAAGCAGGGAGTGAACAGGCTCGAGAGGAAGGGCAAGGATAATGACGGAGGGTATCTGCCCAGCGCTGGAGGACCGGTGTCCAAGGTGGGGGATAGTGTGATTGGGGGCGTGGCTGCTGGTGCTGGTGCCGCTCAGGAGGGAGTCAAGAGTGCCGGGGGGTGGTTGGGGCTTGGTAAGGGCAAGTGAAGGCCCTTTTTTTCATTCTTTTTTTCATTTTCATTTTTTTTGGTTTTGGTTTTTTTTTTAAGGTGAATGGACTGGCTGGCTATGAATGTTGGCGGTTGTGATGAGATAATAATGTGAGGCCTGTGAGGGAACGGGGAAATGGTGAGAACATACGAGGGAGATTTAAATTTCTTGGATCAAGACTATCTAACTAGGTATGAATGAATTTTTGACAATAACTAACTGATTTTAAAATGGATTTGTAATTTCAGTAACTATGTTTTTTGTTGTTTGCATCTCGGAAGGGAATTTGCCACAAGAATAATAAATACACACTCCAAAATAAAAACTGAAAAAAAATAAAAAAATATTTGTTTGACAGACTTTCTTCTGCACGTTGATCTTCCTAACCCTCCGTCCTTCAGCTTCTTAAGTAGTCAGTCACAACCCTCCCCCACTTAACGCCACCCTTATAAACCCCCATCCCGGGAGCGTTCCCTTTACTCAGCCCCTCGATAGCCTCGGCCAGTTGCTCCCCCGTGCCCTCCTCCTCCTTCTTAATATCCTCCAAGGGATACAGAAAAGTCTTGAAAGAAAACACAAGCGCCTTGGTCTCGGGCAACCGCATCAGACTCTGTAGTTCCACCCTCAACCTCGTCTCGGAAATTTCAACCTCGTGGGGCAAGAGTTCTGTGTACTCCTCGTTCGCGTGGACGTGGTTGCCCGATGGCGCGTACAGGTTGGAATGGGTTTGGATTCCCCACTGTGTGTGGTATTGGTATAATAATTAATACACAAAAATACTTTATGCTTCATAGGTAGGTTCGTGGGTCGGTCATGGGTCGTGACATAAAGGGTCGTGAAATGAAAGGAATGAACTTTTATATAAAAGTAGGAAAGAAGAAAGAGAAGAAAAAAAAGTAAAAAAAAAAAAAAAGTACGTACGTTAACCCTCCCCACCCTTTTGCCTGATTCCAACCGCCCAAAGAACCTCTCCATCGACCGTCCAATTTTTTCCCGGTAAGAAGGAACGGGCCCGTGGATTTCCGCAAGAGTCTTGCCCAGCTTCGTCGAAGGATCGAACCCGGACGGATGACAGCAAATAAATGCCGTACAGACGTGTCCTAACTCAGATTCTGTGAGCAAAAAGATGTCGTCCTCTATCGTTTCTCCTATGGCTCTTAGCATTTCTTCTTCCGAAGCTCTCGGGATCGGACTGAGAGGAAATGATTTTTGGGAAATCGTGTTGTTGAAGTATTTTGCACCGGAGAGGAGTCCGGTGGTGGGGTATAAGGGCTGAGGGGATAAAGTGAATAAACCGGGGTAGCGGGAGGGCAGGTAGGTTCCCAAAAGGTACGTGTATAATTCCTGGAGAGGTTGTGCGGAAGAGGGGATGGAGCCCAAGACGACTTGAGGGTGTAAGGCGATAGTTTTTTGGCGGGCGGTGATGTGCCTCAGATAGTTCTTGTCTAGGAGGATGAGGGAGGAGGGTGTGACTGTTTGGAGTGCTGCAAACTTTGTTAATAAAAGGAGTCAGTAAACAAATGGCACAGGAAACAAATACCCATCGTGATGTGATATGTCGGTTTGAACGGCCTGAGTCGAAGTGGTTCCTCATTCTGCCAGTCAAAGTCCGGAAGAGGTTCGATCATTGGCGCCGTCTGCGAGACGTGTTCCGAGTTATCATCCACTTCAAATCGTTTCTTTTCATCGTGATACGCCGATTGATGCCGCCGTCGACGAGTTCGAATTCGCCACCCGGCAACCGCAGTGGTGGTGATGCCCAGAAGGACGAAAAGGACGACATATGAAAACGCCATCTTCCCCAAAACCACAATCTTGGAAATGTTGGTAAAGTAAAAAACGAGCATATCAAAACAATATGAAAGGACCAAGCCGCTATAAATATCAGACGTCCCGCCGTCCCCAAGGAATTTCAGACTTACCCCGCCTCATTAATCACCGAGCGCCCTGATACGCCCACGTTTGCACCGCACGATAATCAGCCAGTCAAAGCTAACCCGTATACGGGTAACTTTTACCCCTTAGCATATCACATGAATTTATCAAACATGCCGATGTTCGTCCGGTCAACTGAAGAGGGGAAAACAAAGAAAAAGCAAAGAAAGAAACAAGCCAACACAAAAACGAGTAAATTCGCCCGGGTATAAACCTAACAACTATCAAGTGAGACTGTCCCTCATATCCCCCCATGTTGAATGCCGAAAAAGGTATCAACCTACCACACCCTCCACCCTCTCACCACTCCCGAGTTCCTTACCCACCCTTGACCTTCCTCTCCTCCTCCGTATCGTTCTGCTGGAACTGATACAACGGCCTCAGCTTGGCCCCCCTCTGCCACAGAACCCACCGCTTAAACCACCAAGGCAAAGCCTCGGTAACCTGATACCTGGCAAACTTGCTAGTCGGCACGGCAAAAATCCAATCCAGCTCCTCCAGAGTCCTCTGCTTCGTCTCGGGGACCCAAAAGAAAATCATCACAAACGCGCAAACATTGAAACCGGCATACAATCCAAAAGCACCCACAACACCCAGACTCTGCAAAAGGAAGGGGAAAGTCATGCCCAAGACCGCTGCCCAAAACAGACATGTCGCAACCGAGAAGCCCATGCCAACTTCACGATGAGACAAGGGGAAAACTTCAGCGCTGTAAGTAAAAGGAACTGGCCCTTCTCCTGGCGAGTAAAAGGCTCCAAACAGGTAGACGAATAATGCGACCAGAGCTGTGCGGGCAGTTCCTTGATCCAGAAGAGTGCAGAGACCAGCAGCCAGGAGAGTCCAAGTCATCTGAGGGAAGGTGAACAGCAAGAGTGATCGCCGCCCAAAGGTATCGATGGTCCAGAAGGCAGGGAAGGCAAAGATCCAGTTGACGAGGCCGAACCCGAAGGACGCGAGCAAGGCATTAAAGTCAGATTGGCCTGCATCACGGAAGACCGTAGTCGAGTAGAAAGCGATGATGTTGATTCCGCACATCTGCTGGGCAATCATGACGGTGAAAGCTGCAAGTGTTGCACGGCGGACACGAGGGATGGTGAAGAGTTCCCCGAAGCGTTGCGCGTAAGTGCTGTTGCGGAGAAGCTGAATCTCGAGTTCCAGTTGCGAGTGAATGTAGAATATGTCTCTCGCAACTTGGAGTTCGTTATGGCGAAGTTTGACCATCGACTTCCAGGCATCTGCGTAGCGGTTCTTTTTCATATACCATCTTGGTGATTCGGGGCAAAGGTAGATGAGAAGCAGGAGAGGGACGGCGGGGATGAAGGGGGCGCCTAAAACAGTCAGCGTGGGTACCTATTCAAGAGGTGATTTGCACGTACCAAGCATCAGTCGCCAATTGTAACGCTCATCGACGTTGAAGACAGCCAGGTTAAAGGCGGTTCCCAAGAAGATACCAAAAGCAGTCCACATTTCTGGAAAATGTCAGTATCCCACCTAAAACCACAAGACGGTGCAACTTACGCCACGACATGACCAAAGCACCACGAATGGCAGCAGGCGAATTCTCAGCAGCATAAATAGGCACGGTTGAAGCTTTGACACCCATACCAATACCCATCAACAACCGACAGGCGAGCTGTTGGGGCCAGGTGTGGCAGAAAGCAGAACCGATGACGGGCCAGAGACAAAAATGGGCAGAGAAGAAAATGACACCACGGCGGCCCCACCAGTTGTTGATGGGATCAGATAGCCAACATCCAATAAATGCACTGCCGATATACGGACCAGCGTTGACGAGAC